TACAGTTGGAGACCTTTTCCTTCAAGCTTCTCCTGACACAATTTCGAGGACTTTCACCCACTTCAGTGGGTCTTCCCTCCCTTGTACAGAGTTTGTGGTTCCCCGCGTGAACGCTCCGTTAGTTTGGCTTCTTTATCTTCTCCTGAGAAATGCCTCAATGAATGGGAGTGGGAGTTGATCTTCAAGCGGAATTGTAAATACGATATCTTCGACAGTAGTGTTGAGCAGTTCGTATTGGTTCTGTTGTCGAAGTAGCGGACCGATCAATGATTGTATGATGTCCTTCGGTTTCGACAGTGGGATCCACACGGACCAGGTACTAAACCATCATCACCATCATCATCATCATCATCATCATCATCATCATCATCATCATCATCATCATCATTATCATCATCATTNATCATCATCATCATCACCATCATCATCATCACCGTCATCCTCATTATCATCATTAACACCATCGTCATCATCATCATCGTCATCATCATCATCACCGCAGGAGGCATCCAATGAATCACAAGAAGAATTGCATCCAAACTTCGTTTGGAAGATCGGGCACGCACTGCATTACAGCGGAATGGAAGAGGCAGGAAGAAAGCCAACGCGTGCATTGAAAAGCGCTGCTGTGCGAACATTCTCACAAGGCCGTAAATGGGGTAATCTTACTGTATGATTCCTAGAATGGCAGATACTACTAAAACTCAATCAGTAGAACGCAAGTATGCGTTGTATCGCATGATAACTGCTTAGAGGAGTGGAAAAGCTGGATTGTGCCAGCGAGACAACAGTCGGCTTTAGCTGATTCAGTCACAGGAATCGATGACAATGAAAACAGAAGAAGAGCTCTTGGTCGGACCGAATACCCAAGAAGAGCGACTGAGTGTCCCAGTACCGATTGTGATATCCACTGAGTAGCGTGGTTGTAATTGAAATGAGGCTGCACGTTGGTGTAACGCAATTACCAATGGGGACGGAGCAGTAACGGAAAGGCCTGCCAAAAGTATCGATGACGTGATAGGGTGGAGAAAATTCTCCTACGGAGAAATTTCCTTCCTTTGGGGTTCATGACAAAGCATATTAGAAATTCAAAAAGATCATACAAAATGATTTCTAACAGCGCGAGAACAAACAAACAAACATCGATACTCGAAATCTTAAGCTCTATTAACCTCGGTCAGTTGGAGGAGGTGTAGTGCGACATTTGGGAAGTTGACGAAATTTCGGCGCTGGTAATGCGCTACTCATAAGGTTGCTGAAAATCCGTCGACAGCCCACCAATCGGTCTCACATTTTTGGGCTCACCAGGTAGGCGCGGTCCCCGAGTTTCCGTCAACCTTATATTCTACTTGAAACCAAATTACACGAAATTATAGAACTACACTCATTTGCTAGCAACTTTGTTTTTTTTCAAGTAGAAGATAAGGTTGACGGAAACTCGGGGAGTGAGCCTACCTGACCAGTCCCAAGAAGGGCGAAAGCGGTCGTGGGCTGTCAACGAATTTTCAGCAACCTTATGCGAATTAAACAATTACTGATCGCTTCGGTGAAACGGATAGGTTTTTATGCTGATCCTATGTGGTATTCCCTTTAGAGAGTTACACATTCCAAGTGTTTTTTATCAAACGTCTTTCTAGAAGCAGGTCTAACCTTAGAAGTATCAATTTCCGGTCTAGTGCGCTGCTTCTGACGTCGATGGCTTATTGAGATTGGAGCAGTTCTGTTCACGTCATCCAAACATACGACGGGATAAAATAAATTGTGAGCTACAAGTAGAAAGTTGTCATCTTGAAACAAAAAGGGATGAGAATGCATTCCTTGGGCTCTTTCTGGGCGTCACTTCCTTCAAGGGCGCATTTCGCCTGTTCCAAGCTAACCGGTCAAATTGCGTCAAATTACTGCTGACAATCGTTGAGCTATAGCACCCTTCCGGTGCCTAACTAACATGCCACCCGAAGGTTGCACGAGGGCTGGGATACTGCCAGGTTGCTGAGGCTTAGACAGCGGAAGTTGAGAGGCAGAGGTCGGGTTCGATTCACAGACCTTCCGGTCAGTCAATTCGCGCTCTAACCAGTTGGGCCATCTCGCCCACGCTATCTGCGGGCATGCGGTTTCTAAACTGGCGATGTCATCTCAGTTGGTGAGGAAACTGACAATCTGTGTTTCCGTGCTACCTACATTCCACAACATCGCCAAGTCATACCTTGCTTAAACTCTGTGAAAATCGAGGCCCGGTATTTCAGCCAATGGCAACCGTACCACAGTTGTACGAGGTTGCTGATCTGTCACAGAATATGTTGTAGACTCATTATTGATTCCCAACAAGACAAGATCAACGATCCACCGTTCTCCCTATTCAGTTCTTATCTTGCCCCAACCCCAAGAGGTTTTGTTTGACTAACAATGTTTACCTCATACGACATAAAACCATTTTGTTGATTAGTTCCAGGTGGTCGGTATGTCAGATGTCCGATGTTTACGTCCCAGCAAGGCATATGCCCTGTTGATGAGCCTCACTTGAGGAAGGGTGGGGCAAAATTCGAGTCCAGTTCTTTCACGTTCTGGCATGAACTCTCCAAGGTCCTTGCACATTGACAGGAGGACTCCCGGTCAGGCAAGAGTAATGTGAAGATAGGAAATTTCAATAATGTGGTGTAAGCGCCTTGAGGATAGTTAGATCTCGCAGAGTCTGCGATTCAAGCAGATTGCATGTGACACACTCTAATTGGTGCGGAACTGATGATCGTTAAATTCAGCATTGTGGTGCGATTGGCTTCTACATTCTGCTAAAGGGACGGGCCAAATTTTAATAGTACCATAAAAGTAGTATATTATTGGAACTTTCAATAATGTGGTGTAAACGCCTTGAGGATAGTTAGATCTCGCAGAGTCTGCGATTCAAGCAGATTGCATGTGACACACTCTAATTGGTGCGGAACTGATGATCGTTAAATTCAGTATTGTGGTGCGATTGGTTTCTACATTCTGCTAAAAGGACGGGCCAAAT